CACACTCGCATACCCTTTTTTTTTTTCTTTGCTCTCGCTCTCTCTCTCTGTCTCCCTACCTCATGCTCTCCCCTCTTCTCTCTCTCCTCGGGAGACTGATGCAGTGGCTGATTGTGTGGGAAGTTCCTCTGTCATCGTTAGCAGGGTTGGAGGCACTTGTCAGAGGCCACATTAGGAGTTTCCTATGAAGTCCCCTATGCCTCGCAAGTCACACAGAAACAGAGGGGGGGCCAGCAGTACACATGGTATTAAGGGAATATGTCAGAACAGGTCAAAACTGCTACCTGGAAGCTGGGTTTTGGTCGTTTTACAGAGCATTTGTCATGAAGTTTGACACATTTCTATATCAATAAAAGGAGGCATAGATTTAAATACTATTTCCTGTACAATCCAATGGGATAATAGAGTATACTTGGATGTATGAATGGATGTAGCCAATATGATGTAATCCATTTGTTTGTAGACAGTGTGACATGGGCTGCAGCAGGCAGGGGGCTATGCATCGCTATGCTATACAGTCTTAGGTTGAGGCTAATCAATTAGCTAGCTATTCAGCAATTAACTGATGCGTTTCCAAGAGAAGGACACACTATTTTATGGTGGTGCCTGGCTGGTGCAGTTGACTTATTGGACGTATGTTTAAGAGAGAGCTTGTGAAATGTAGCAAACTAGCCGCAAGCAAGATACATCTGAGTTGTGGGAGTAGAACAAGGTTAGTGCTCCTTATAGGACTGGATATTATCACTTATGACTATAGCCTCTTAATCTTTCTGTCGAGAAAAGAAAAGCAAACAACATTCCTGACTCCCGTGGTGTTGGCAAAAAGAAATCAGTGCAAAGAGATAATGCACATGCTGACCAGCCCAATTTGGAGTGCCAAGACGCTAATATAATGTTCATTAGCGCTAACTTCTAAATTAAATGTGGAAAAAAGGAATAAAACCATGGAAAATTGCGATTGCACCCCCACAAACCCCATTGACCATAAAGACCAAAATCTATTTTTTGCGAGCCTGTGAATGTGCTTATTTTTCCTTTAGAGTTTGCATTTGTAACACTGGGCTGTATAGGGATTGCCTCGCTTTCAGAGCCAGCCTCTAGTGGCCATTTGTTGAACTGCATTTTTTTTTTTTTTTTACATTGCACTGGCTTCATTTTTCAACACACTATGATGGCTGCTTCAGTGTGTGGTGCCTATGATGTAAACAACCACCCAGGCAACAATAACAACAACATTAACAACAACAAAAAAAACAGACAATAGTTTAAAAAAAAGTGAGATTCTTCTGCTTTACATCCAGCAGCGTGTCAGGAAAGCAATCTGCAGCCTATCTGCTACCAAGTGATTTCATTTTTTAAACCGCAAAGCCACTAGGAGTGAAGATTAACAAGCTTTGAATCAGCTGAGACTAATAATTTTGCTCTCTGACAAAGGTTACCATGTTTTTTGGTGGGCGTGCGTTATTGATCTACCCACTAAAAGCTACTTTTATTGCTTCAGCTGTTGCTAGACCCTTATTTCAGACGCCGCACAAACAACTTCTCCTCGAAACTCAGTTTTAAACCGGTGCTCCATTTTTTCTTAATACTGTAAAAGCAGAGATTGAGTAACCCCTCTTTGATCAACAATCACTCAGATGCCCCTTAGCAAGGCTTTAGCCGAGGACCGTGGCTTTACTGTGCTGCTGTGAGGAAGGAATGCAAATCAGGGCTGAACAAGCAGCAAAAATGACCGGACCGTGCAGAGCACTTTAAACTTCAGAGGAAGCAGAGAAGAAAAGACTCAATCCTGCTGAAGAGATATTATATCAAGATTTGATCGTGAACTCGACGTGCTTGTCACAACCTCAGATCAAAATCGGTCTCAAAGATCAAAAGGAGAGGGAAAAAAAGCATCAGCACAAACATCAGCGATCTTTACGGCTCAGCCGCTTTCATTACGCAGACTGAAAGCAGAGAAGCCTAAAGTGTGCATTAAATAATTCAAACTGTCCTTCAAAATGTTATTTGCCTACTGAGAGCCATACATCACTTGGCAATGGGAGATTAAAAAAGCGGCAGGGAAAGAAAGCAAGCCGACAACTGTCACCGTATACCTTGATATTTGAGATTATGACTGTTAGCTTTTCAGAATGAGATGTGTACGCTCAATGACAAACACTACAAATGCCATGCTGCTATATTGAGACAAATCTGCCTTGCTTAACACAGGGCCATAAGAAAGAAATACACTGTAATATAAAGGGCATGCACAAACTCGTCATATTGAGCTTGTAGTAACAGTGGAGATACTGTGATAGAATCTTATGAATAGAAGCCATGAAAAACATATCATCAGAAGTATATATGAAGTTGTTTCTCCAATAACACAACTCTATAAGCCAATAGCGATAACTGACCTGTCAGCGTGCATGTGTTTTTAAATGTTTAAGAAAGCTGAAATGAGATTGAGATTAAATATCCACCTATTTATCGCAAGCTCACCTTTTCTTTTGCTAGCATTTCCCCCCCAAAAAATGTAGTTAATCTGCGTTGTTCCTCAGTACTTTGCCGTGATTGGCTAGAAAAGTAGAAGCAGACTTTCACAGCAAAAAAGGTTTACTGTTACAGGGGTGGCCAATCAAGAGGGGCGTTTGCCACCCTTGGCGACTCCCTCTGGAGCACCCCTGTTTGTGTGACAAAATGTCATTGTTGACTTGATTTTTAAAGCACAAGCATCACCTTCTAATCGTAAATCAGATAATCAGGTACATACATCTAATCTAGCCAAGTAGCTTTTGAACCTGTTCCTGACCAATCACAGGGCTAACCTGTGTTAGATGGTCAGAAATATAGAAAAAGCAAACATTTTTGGCACAGATAATTCCTGAAGTATTTCAATAAAGATGGTTGTTTTGGCATACAGTAGCTGTGGTAGAGCAGTGACTGCCAGTGACAAAATCTAAATAAATGTAGTATTTTTTTTCACAGTTCTAAATATCGTTTTTTCCCTTCTATATGCAGGTTTATGAAAAGTTTCATATTTGCAAAAGGTTGCTTTTTTACGACCATTTTTCTTAGTGAAACTCTTGCAAGTGTGCATTTTTTTCTGTTCAACGCGTACATGAACTCCTAATGTGGTTACAGAGCAGAGATAGCTTTAGATAGATAGAGGTCCTCGCAAATGGGGAAGGGGGGTGGGGGGGGGGAGTGTTTTAAAGCCAGAGCTCGGCACGTCAAGGAGATTAATGCACGGCTATTGTCTCCGGCTCTCATCAGAACACTTTTATCTGCAGAAAATGACAGAGCTTGCACTTTTCATTATGTATGTTAGGTAGCTAGCTGGCGCCCCAACGCCCCTCTCAGCCTCCCACTTTCCCTTTACAAAAAAGGATTGCTTTTGGAGGGGGGGGGAGCTTGAATGAATGTGTGTGTGCGTCTGTGTTTGTGTAAGATGCAAAGAAGGGGAAATGGTATGAGAGCGCTTGTGTGTGCATGACCCTTTTTGAATGCAATTGTGTGTATCCAGGCTCATTTCTATGCCCTACTTGTCCGACTTGACATCTGAATAAAATGTGACGCATTAATTGATGTTTTATGTCTCGCAAACACGGATATGGAGAATATGGATTACTCTGGAGACGGCATTGATTGTTTAAAGTGTGTCTGAAAAATGGGATGACAACTGCAAGAACCACAGTGTGTGTGTGTCTCTTTGTTCTTTCCTCCCAAGTCCCTCAAGCCGAGTGGCTTTAAGACTGTATGTGTGTAAAATAAGTGGAATGTAACATTTGAGGCTTTCTCTGACCCCATCAGAGGGATGAAAGTGCTGCAACAACGCGTTTGCATCCAACTTATACAATCGAGTTGGAGCTGCTAGCTTTTGTTCCTATTTGAAAGTATAATTAGGATGAGACTATTAGTGTTTTTTTTCACCCCCACCAAGTACATTATTCAGACTGAAATGTTTATTCCTTGGGTTTGTGTTGGAGAAATTATCAAAAAGAACACCTTCTGGAGCAATTGTACCTGCGCATCAAATGGTCGTTTTTTAGGCTCTAGTTAGTCCGCCTGAACTGCTACAGTTACCACAGAATGGTACTGGGAATAAAACTGGCATAAATTCCACAATCTTAGCTAGTAATAAATGTACTAATATGTCTCCCTAGCTTGTCTACAAACCCCACAATTATGAGAAAAGTCCACCCTCTCCGTCTTCTACCTGCTCCACTTTTCAGAAAATGTGTGCTCATACAGGCCTTTTGGAGATTTTCCCTTTATGACATCACAAAGGGCAGTAACCCCTCCCCCGGGTGGGTGACACTCCCACAGCTAGGTGTTTGTTCTGCCCTCTGAGTCCGCCTCACTGTAAACAATCAGGCATGGAGCGAGAAAGCCTACACCACATCCCGTTCCATAAAGACAGAGGGGTGTGGTCAAACACAGCTCATTTACATATTTAAAGCTACAGACACAGAAACAGCCTGTTCTGACCAGGGCAGAAAAAAAGGATTTTCATAGGCATGATAACAGACAAGATTGGAGTGAATTTGAGACCTTTATCCAAAACTTAAAGCACCTGTTTGTGTCAATGTTGGTGCCCCACTGTCGACAAATAGGTACTTCATCCTGTATTCTTTCAGCAGTCAAATGTATCATTATACACACAAATGCTGATTTGGAACTTTATATTCAACACCTACACCGCAGCAGAATTTTCAGGCATAAAAAGTATCCATAAAAAATAGCCCCTCTTCATGATAACGGTTGTGATTGCTTTGTAGATCATAAAAATGCCACCATAACAATTTCAGTCGGTTTCAAAAATAGCTAAAAATTGCCCATAAGAGCTTTAACCAAAAGGCCAAAAGAAGTAGAAGAAGCTATTTGTCATTGCTGGAATGGTATTGAAGGCTGTTGGAGATGTTCAGTATGCCTTTGCATTGACAAGATACTTGATGATTTACATGATAAAATGTGATGACAAAATCACAGGGCACATTGTATAGACATTTTCTTACCTTGATGGGGCTCAGATCCATCTTTTCTTGTGCAGTCCGAATTTCCAGGATGTTGTTTCCCAGTAAGTACGACTGAAATAGAATTAAGAAGTTAAAGTTAGTGGATTGAAACAGAAGAATATGACCAAAGCAATTCAACTAATGGGAAAACCCCAAAACCATTATCATTCAGCTTATTTCAATGAAAAAAAGCTATTTCAACGAGGACTGTTGTGAACATTAAAAGGTACTTTTTTAATTCTATGTGCATTTCATTGGATAAATAATTGATACAATGCATAATGAGATAATTATCAGTGCATCATGATAATTTGATGTTACTAATGGTGTAATGGGTGATGATGTTTATAGGAAAGCTGCCAGAAGCAATCGCCTCCCATCACAGAACATGACAGTTGGATGAGTGGCGGCAGCCCATTGATTCCAGCTGTGATCCTGATATCTGATAAATAATGAAGGAATTGTGTCCAAATATGAAGAAAATGTGTGTGGCATCTACTCACTACTAATTAAAACCAATGAAACAACAACAGCTACTAACAGGATTTCTGTTTCCCAATCACCAAGTTACAGTCAAACCTGGTGTTTAAGACGCACTTTTGACACATGTAATTTCATCTAGAAATTTGGCTGCATCCAATATACCAGTGAGACCAACATACCAGATAAGCCTTGTCATTGCCCCAGTGCATTAGCCGCCAACCATCTTACACAACCTGACGCTATATGGCGCAACATTTGTTTGGTTGGAAAGACCAATCAAATAAAGACAACAAGTGACCAGTGGAGATGGGCTGTGGGTTTGTACTTTCCAAGTATCACCATGTAGGCCAAGCGGCAACCACTGGTCTTGAAAAGTGAAGCCAATGCGGAAGTGCAAAATCCTGCAGTTCACCGAGTGTCCACTTGAGGCTTACAGCATAAATTGACATGTTTACAGCCTGGTATAAAATATAAAAAAGGTCTGATTGGTTATTGTCATCACTGGCACACACTGTACTAGGAGTGATTTTTTTTCTTAAAAACAGCTTTGTTTTGATTTTGAAAATTTCAGCTCTCAACCTGTAGTAAGGTTGGCTGAAAATAAGGCTGAGACAAGTATTTCCAACATGGCTGCCTCCGGAGCCCCCTGCCATAACAGATAAGTGACATCACTCAGGCTTCGTCCGTTAATATTCACAGTCTATGCCATAGGCTGAAAGTGCACAGGCTTCTGCGACTGAAGGTAATAAAGAGAAAAAATATGTGTGCATAGGACTGCTAGTCGAAAAATGGGATCAAGAAGCCACATAGGGACATGAACAAAGCCAGCACTCTGCAGCAGTCAGTTTCAACATCCATCTGATCAAAGGTTTCACCATTTAATAACGGAAATCTTTGATGCCGCTCGACCAATTTCAATCAAACACCCTTTGACAGTGATCGTCCTGCTTCACTTTGGGCCAGTGCACATTTGAAGGCACTGCTCACATGTTCATAACTTAAAGAGCATAACAATCCTTTTAAGTGGGTAACAGATGAGCTTCACCACTTTGCTTGTCTCGGTGTGTGGATCTTTCTCGCTTGGCTTTACAGGAACAAAGAAACCTCTTCTTCGCAGCCCCCTCAAGCATTCCACCTGCATTGGAATGCATCACTTCCCCGTGGAGACTGGCATTTCAGTTAATGCTGCGCCGAGACCAGGCCGGTAATAGATTCATTTAAGTAATTATTTTTGAGGTGGAGCGAGGGGAAGCGGGGGGCAAAGAGAGGTATAGACGTGAGAAGGCTTGCAGAGTGGAGTGTCGATTTACTGAGCTGCGGGGTGGGTTGTTAAAGTGAACAGGATCCTGACACAAAGCAGACAAATAAACAATTTGACATGCAAGATTAATTTGTTCGTGTTTTCGAATGATTTCTTATTCCTCCTGCTCAGAACAGGCTGTTTCTGTGTCTGTACCTTTAAATGCAAATGAGCTATGTCTGACCACGCCCCCCCCTCCCTCTCCAGTTGGGCTTGGGCTTTCTCGCTCCATGCCCTAGTGTTTACAATGAGGAGGCGGAGTTAGAGGGCAGAACAAACACCTAGCTGTGGGAGTGTCAACAACCTGGGGGAGGGGTTACTGCCCTTTGTGATGTCATAAAGGGAAAAGACGGAGAGGTTGGACTTTTCTCATAATTTTTTTTGGGGGGGTTGTAGACTGACTAGGGACACATATTATTGTCATAAAAACATGGTGACCTTGAAATGTACACATGTAAAACACAACTGTAAGACAAATGTAAGAAGCAACATATCTCAAAGAGCAAACCGCCTCAACCCTAACACACAAACAACACCACAGCAGTGCCAGTACAGCCATTTTCAAAACCCATCAATTATAACAGGTACCGAGCCCCAAACTTGATTAGGTTGGAACCTGACAGTGCATTAATCTTACTCCAATCCTGCGATGCGTTGGGATAGGGTAGGGATGGAATTGTACAGAGGGAGGGGTCGGGATGGGAGGCAGATGTAGACACTTGTGCATTGAAATTAAATTTTATATTTCGATGAAAATACATTCTGTCAGTAAAAACTGCGATTTGGGATGACATTCCCTGGTTTTCTTTAAAGGGCCATTTAACCGATTTCAAATCATCCAACCATTCCACTTTTCCCATTAGGGGCTGGAGAGGATCGCAGCTGTCATTGGGCGAGAGGCAGGGCACACCATGGACTAATCCCCTGCCAATCACAGGGGCTGACATATAGAGACAGACAACAAGCCCCACTCACACCTAAGGGCAATGGAGAGCCACCAATTAACCTAACGGGCATGTCTTTAGATTGTGGGAGGAAGCCGTAGTACTGGGAGAGAACCCGTTCAAACTCCACACTTTGAGAGTGAAGAGGGGGGGTGGGGGCTCGGGGCCTGGTGTATAAGCATTTTCCAAGCTTGAGTTACATCATGGGAGTTGTGTTCCAACATTGGTTTCCCCCAGAAGTCTTTATTATTTGTTGCCGTGTCAGAAAAAAACCCAATGTTGCCGTGGTGTCGTTTTCAATTTCCCAGGGTAAGCAGGATTAAAATATGAAAATGTAAAAAAGTCAGTCAAAATCAGGCGGAGACCTAACAAAGCAGTCAGTAAGATCAATTAAAAAAAAAAAAATGAGGAGAAAGAAAAGGGGCTTACAGTAACAGTAACACAGTCCATGGGGAACAGGCAAGAAACAATTATCCTCCCCCCCCCAAAAAAAAAAAACAGGGGACATGGTCCAGAAAAACACAGGTCGTAAACTACAATGGAGAAGTCTACACACTGAACGAGGTGGGATGACAAACTGGCACAGAAACAGGGGGATACAAAGACTAAATGCACTGGGAAGGGGAGGGTAATCAAGCACAGGTGAGACTAACGAGGACCAGGTGGAAACAATCAGGCCACACACTCTCACAGGCAGAATAGGAGCCACAGCTGAATGACCAAATACAACCGAAAAAAATGATATGTGAACACTAAATCATCAGTTTTACCAAACTACATGACACCTTCAGGTGGATTTTGAATGCCAATGTCTGGATTAATACAGTACATAAATGTCATGTTGCTGTTAATTGAAACCTTTCGCTAAATGTATTAGCTGAATGGGTTTCTTTAAAGCTACTATGAGGATTTTTTGATGTTTAAGAAACAGACTGAAATCGATACTGATGCCTCTTGATGACCTATAAAGGCAAAGAAGACCATCAGCAAAAAGATTGACTTTTTCAATATAGTCATTTTAAATGCCTGAGACTACTCTCGCTGGGTCAGTGTCGAGCTAGGAGATTAACGGCACGCTGCAGAAATAGACTTTTCTGTCCATTTCCCATGGTAAAAAAAATCCCAGTTAGTGATATTTTTGGAAGGAAATAAGTTTTTGTCATAAAAAAAATGACATACACAAGAAAATGGCATGTTCCACTTTGTCCACCTAGTGGCGCCATAATAGGAGCTTTAAAATCACAGTTGTGTACATTTGTACACTGGATTTTGTCACAACAAAACCTTTAATTGCAAAATTCAACAACAAATGTTGGATAGCCTGTAAATGTTCAAGAGATAGGTCTGAATTTGGGTCCTTTTTTCAAAGGCAGACAGGCAGGCAAACTTTACCGTAACTTCCCACTTTAAGACGATATGTTATAACAGTTATTGATACTTGTGCTTGCTTTGCATCAAATGTTGAGAATTTCTTCCCTTCTTGCTTCCTCTCTCCCACAATAAAGAAATCACAAGGTTGAATTTCTATTCGGAGTCGTCTTCCATATATGGCCTCGTTCAATTTACAAATGCTTTGGGAAAGATAAGGCAAGTCATCAACCGGCACAAAAAGATATAATAATAATAATAATAATAAAATGGTCAGTCATCGTCTGAAAGAGGCTCATTTATTCGGAACCCTGTTATCAGCTTCTTCCTGTTTCCCCTTAAAGATGGCCCATTGGCAGTAAATTGAACATTTTGCATCTTTGTGTGCATTCAGACACCTTCAGTCCCTTTAAGTGTCATAAACACCTCGATGTTTGCCTCCAAACTTGTGTACTTTCCTTGTTCCTGAGCACAGAACGAGTGCAGAGGGAAGACGAATGCAGCAGGCAGTGTAGCACAGTATCCAAATGAATCCTTCTGAGCTTATTACACAACTGAACTGGGACATGCAATGTCAGCCGGTCATTTAATACCAATTTACCATGGACTGTCATGGGTTATATAATAATTAATCACCCATGCCAATTAGCCCAAACATACTGCTGAGTCGCTGCAATAAATAGACGGATGGCATTTGCTTCACTTTATAACTCAGTGCGTCCCATTTACAGCAAAGTGTTTTTTTTTGTTTTTTTTTAGTTTCACTTTTATTTACACATCGAGACGCCACGGTTGGATGCAGCCCGTTGTCACAGCGCTGTAACCCGAGCAGAGACAAGTGTAGAGGTTGATCAGCCTCATGGACACAGTGAGCATTCCTTAGGCGGTGTGGACGGGCTAATCAGGAGGACAGGGAGGGTTTCCCAGCAGGGCCGGTTTGGACCGGTCTGGATGGAACAGATTTATAAAGTGACCAGGTTGACTTGCTGTGTGAGACCACTGCTGGTGGTCCATATGGCAGGCTGTCATTTTCTCTGTGTGTCCGGCTGGCTGCTGCTGCCATGGCCCTCGAAGCAGGCAGGATTACAGACTAATGTCCCCTCCTACACTAAAAAATGTAGGTGTGTTCTGCTTACAAAACAAACACAGAAAAATGTGTGTTTACATTTACTTCGCCAAAAGATGGTCTAAGGGAAAAGTCTGAATTTGGGTCCTTTTTTCCAAGGCAGTAAGTTGGTTGAAAATGGTACCTCACAATTCTTAATGAAATATGTACAGTATATAATAATGTGCATTCATTAAGCCCATTACTCTATTTGGTTATATTTAAAGCCATATACTTGTAATTCCTCATGGAGCCTGTGCTGCTTCGGGCAAATTCAGCCAATTTCTCTCTCACACAAAAAAAAAGAAATCACAAGGTCACAACTCAAAAGACCTGCTGCATGCCCCCCACAAGCGTCTCATATTAAAATGCCAAACACCCCAGCGACAGGCATACATCTACATGGGAGGAAGTGACAGTGTACCGCAAAAAATGGCCAATCTTTCAGTATCTAAAGCCCCCAAAGTCAACTGAACCTTTCTCAGTGACACTTGATTTATGGTTGTTTTTTTTTGGTGTTCAAGAAAATAATCCCCCCTTTGATGGTTTTTTCTTTGATATTACTTGATCTTTCAGATGCAGTAAATGCAGCTGTGGGGATAAAATGGCATTCAAATGCTAAAGAAGGTCTAAAATATCATCATTTTGGCAGCCTGTGTGCAAAAACATCACAATGGTATAATTCTTCCGTGGCGATATCATTATTAACCATGCTATTGGCAGGGCTCTGGGTATAACAATGGCTCATAATCTGTCTGTTTGTTGCTCAATTGGTTGTTTGATCCTGACTGAATTATCTTATCTGCATATAAAATGGTGAATAAGGAATTTTTCAAAGACATTCACGGTCCTCAGAGGATAAGCCAAATAACTTTTATGGTACTCTTTCATCAAGCAGTCAAATATCGCAACAGCTTCCTCATAGATCAGCAAAACATTTAGCATTGACACTCCTGGAACTCAGACGATAAGCCACAACTAACTTTAGAGAGAACCTGAATTTGACTCCAATATCACCCCTTTTTTTTGGAACATTTGTCCATTTTTTGTTCAGTGTCTCTCGACAACCGTTGGACGGATTGGAATGAAATTTGGTGCGACCATTCATCTCACCATGAAGATGAAATCTATCACCTTTGTTGTTAATTTTGAATTTCTTTCTTGCGCCACCATCTGGTGAAAATTGCACTTGGCAACCATATACCTGTCAAAAAACCTTTTACATTAGCATTTAGCTCGAAGCATTTCTGTGTCTAATTTAAGCACACTCAGCTGTGTGCTATTAAAGATAGGGTTAAGATTCAGTAATTGTCTTTTTCTAAACTTTTTTTTACTGTAGTTCTAATTTTCCATTTGGCTCTTTGTAATCAAAAACTAAAGAGTCGAGGAAGTTCTTTCTAAATTCAGAGAAACCACATTTGGTTGATGGTCGCTGCGTTGCTTCTTTTCACAAGTATAAGCCGATACCTGTCGACATCTTTTTCTTCACACCTGCAACCATGAATAATCCTGGGCAAAATGTATTCTGAGCAGAGTGAATTCTCCGACGTGTTTTTTTAAAAATGTTTTTATCTAAACCAAATACAGGAATGATTTTAGAAGAATATTTTCTTCAGCAACTTCTCATATCGGTGGAGACTAGGTCTTTTCTTTCAACCTGCCACCCTCCTCCTCGTCTGAAAATGTATCATCTGTAATTTTGCCTAGAGGTGGCTCTAATTCTTAAGGCATATTGATCCTTCAACTTTTCTGACAGCATCGCTGTAGAAAACAACTTCATAGCATTTCCAAAGCTCATCTGACGCTGTGTCGGCACAAAATACCAACATGTTTTCAGCTTTTGTTTCAAGTGAACATTTTGTTTTTGAACTCTCTCTGAACACTCTCATAGTTTTCTTTTTATTTGAATGCCGAATTGACTTTGCAGCATCGCTGTAGATTCACCTTGGTAACAGGCTTTTGAGCAAAGCAACTTTCTCTGTTGTCTTTTGTTCAAGCTCAAATACGTCTTCCTAAAGTGTTGGAAAGCAAAACTTGTGTTTTATCTTAAATTCCTCACTTTACAAGGTCTTATCTTTCCATATTTCCAAACATAATCAGCTTGTTAAAGAAAGGGATGTACAAAGTCAGAGGAATACAATGTACTTTAGTGTAAATCTCATTGGCTTATCTGCTGCCACATTAATTGCCTCCGGCTTTGATCGACCCAAAACTGGTTTAATACACTTTTTTTTTTTGCAAAAACACAGCAGCATGCACAGCAGTAATGTCAGTAATTGAAAATAGGGAAATTGATTGAATAGACAAGGCTTACAAGAGCAAATATTTCACAGCTGCCCGGATGAGCAGCTCCGGGAGAGCCATTGAACCCTGAAATGGGATTTCTCCACAGAACATTTCAGATACTCGTCCGACAATGTACACATGCCCGAGCTACATCCATCGCTAAATGCAGAGATGCATTCCAAATAAAATGCAAATCCAAATGAGGCTCAGCCTTAGACATTTGTGATGGGGTTCTACACAGTGTTGTTTGGTATCCAGGAAATTATCGTCTAATGAAAAGTCTTGTACTTTATGTTCGGTTGAAACTTGACATTCACACCAACAGAATGACTCAGAAGTATTTGCCTGACAGTTTCCAACGATATACTACACATTGCTTAAGTGGCACAGCAAGGCCTGATACTGAATGGTTGTATCAACCTGCTCAATCAAAGAGTTTGCATGGAACAAGTGTATCTAATCCCCTAAGCAAATTGGATCTACTTGAAGATACAAGGACAGCCAGTCATTAATTGTTTTCCCAAAAAAGCCCATTGCTACCCCGCCACCACTGTAGTTATCGCCATGGGGAGAGAGAGAGATAAAGAACCAGCCAAATTAAGATTCAGGAAGTTAGCAAGCGTCCCTCATTGGAGGAGGGAGTTCAGTTTGAGTCTTTGGGGATGGAACTGGATCATAGCATTGGCTGTCTTTTCCTGGGTGCCGTTGGATACGCAGCGGCCGTGGGGACCTCCAATTTAAGGAAAAACCATTCAGG